TCGACAAACCCGACTAAAATTTTTAACTTTTTAATTGAAATTTAAGACCACGTATTTCCTAATATTCCTAAACATATTGGATCCACTCGAACTTTTTCCACCGATTGACTTTTGTGCTACAAAACCATCGACTAAGAACTTGAAGAATAAAACAAATCCATTTTTCCAATTCATTGACCCAAAAATGCTTGATATTTCGACAAGGCAAAGATTTCAGCAAGGACATTTTATGACATCAGCTTGGGTTACAAGCAAAATTAACAAAATGCGGTTTACTTTGCGCCCCTAACATCCAAGTAACGAGAACCTAGCTAAACATTCAAATCTAAAAATCTCTTTCAACGAAATCTCTTTTGAAGAACTCTACCCCCGTCTGTTTGTCTGTCATTTACGGTTTTTACAAATGAATAGAGCATGAGAGGTTTTTTGTGGTTGGGCGATATGAATGGAAGTGTGGTGCTGCCACTGTCGTTACTGCTGCTGCCTGGTGCTGCTAGTAATTGAAATCGTAGTAACAGGCATAGTATTTGCTTGTGAATGGATGGATGTCAGCCAGCAAGCAAGCCAGCTGGATGTAGTTGTAGTAAAATGTGTGAATAATCAAAGTAACTAAACAATGTGTAGATGTGTGGGTTGGGAGTGTGTGTGAGAGAGATTGGGTGTTGGGAGTAGGAGGCATGCATTTTCTAGTAACAGCACCGCGGCACAAGTGCCTTTTTGTTCTCAAATCCCATCTGTGTTACTTTGAAGAGGCGACCGAGTGTGTGGGTAAGTGTATGGGTGAATGAATGAATAGATGTTTGGGGGCGTGAATGAAAAATTCAATGGTAACCACATCTACTCTTTGTCATAGCTGCAGCTCTCAAAAGTCTATGCATGTGTGTCTATGTGTGACATTTTACTATGACTCTCAGACGAGGCCGGCGACAACAACTGTATTTTAATTTTAAACGAATTTTTGTATAAAAATGATAACATTCTCCCCACAGAGAGGCAGAGAGTGTGAGATGGATTAAAAGCTTTGTATATGCGGCATTTCTTTTACGTCTTGTTGTTTTTGTTGCCTTTTTCGCCAGCATGCATCATTTAGGGAGTACATTTTTGTGAGTGGTGGATGTAAGTGTATTTGTAGTGGTTTTTTTTTTATTTTCTTACTTTAGACGTTACTTTAACTACAAAAGAGAAAAATGTTTATTGTGTCAGATAGTTTGCTCTTTTTGCGACCGTAATATCATAAATAATTGTGAAGGGGTGAACATTTTTCATTGTTTTCTTTTCCTTTCTTTGTTGGGGTTGTGACATGTCATTATTCTTAAGAAAATATGAATTAATTTACTTATCTTTTTTAAATAATGAATAAAAAAAATATTGTTACTTTGCAAAAGAAAACATCCCTATGGGAATGAGAAATGGCAGTATTTATATAGTTTTAGTTGATACTAAGGATAAGTTTTATATTGTTTTTGTATATGCGAATTTTGTTTAAACAAGTAAAATTGTATCTGTCGGTTTTGCCAACAGATGCATACCCACTGCCTTGAGTTCACATTGTTGACCCTTTATAGGGGAGGTTCCGAAGCAGTTGGCCAATATTGACCAAATCGTATTTGACCTAAGACTAATAAAAAATATTACAACGTATCAGATTTGGACTATATCGACCATTTCCTATACTTTATATGAGATATATGTTTGAAGTAAAAGATGTAGCGGATAGAAGTATTTATTTTTCAAACATCATCTAATATAGATAAAAATATTGGTATGAGCAAAATTTGAAGGAAATCGAACATTTATACCCAATGCGAAATCATAAGTTCCGATATCTCACATATTCATATCAGATTTCTGGTTAGGACAAATATTTGATGTAGCGAGTTGTAAAGAGTTGACTTGTTTCCCAAGATAGGACAGATTAAAGTATTGAAAATTCTGAGCCATTGTGGGTTAGATACCAGAAGGGTTCGCAGATATATATCATCTTCCCAACAGATCCTGCGTTAGCAAAAATATTTGGATATATGAAATTTAAAGAGAGTTCAGCGTCTTTGAGCGTTTTGTTTTTCAAAATCTTGAACCTTGTATTGGGGAGGTACCAGAACAATTTTCCGATCTTTACCATCTTTCTATCAAATCTTGAGTTGATGTAAATATTGAGATGTATCAAGTCTGAATAGAATCTGAAGTTAATTTCCCGTTTTATGAGCTTCATGGATACTCAAAATGTTGACACTTTTTGGGGGAGGTACCAGAAGGAGTGGACCGATATATCCCATCTAACAGTAGACTTTGGGTTATTAAAAATACTGTGATGCGAGTAATTTCACGAGAACAGGATGCTTATTTCTGTTTTTATGATCGTTTTTGTTATTCAAAACTTTGATTGTGTGGGAGGTACGAAAAAAAATTTCCGATCTCTGCTATCTTTATAATAGATCTTGTGTTGATGGAAACATTGAGATGTACCAAGTCTGAATGGAATCGGATGTTATTTTCGTATTTTATGAGCCTCTCGGATATTCAAAACTTTGATCCTTTTTGGGCGAAATATCAGAACGAGTGGACCGATATATCCCACCTTCACACCAGACCTTGGGTTATTAAAAATATTGTGATGCTTGTAATTTTAAGAGAACCTGATGTTTATTTGGGTTTTTATGATCGTTTCTGTTATTCAAAACTTTGACCCTTTGTGGGGGAGGTTCCTGAAGAAATGGTTCGATCTCTACCATCTTTAAAACAGATCTTGCAATAATGGAAATATGCGCCAAGTCTGATTAAAATCGGATGTCAATTTCGTGTTTTATGAGCTTCAAGAATATTCAAAATTTCGAGCCTTTGTGGGAGAGGTACCAAAAGGAGTAGACCGATATATTCCACCTTCACACCAGACCTTGGGTTATTAAAAATATTGTGATGCGTGTAATTTTAAGAGAACCTGATGCTTATTTCGGTTTTTATGATCGTTTCTGTTATTCAAAACATTGACCCTTTGTGGGGGAGGTTCCCGAAGAAATGGTCCGATATCTATCATCTTTAAAAAAGATCTTGCGTTAATAGAAATATTGAGGTGCGCCAAGTCTGAATGGAATCGGATATTAACTTCGTGTTTTATGAGCTTCATGAATATTTAAAATTTTGACCCTTTGCGGGAGAGGTACCAAAAGGAGTGGACCAATATATTCCATTTTCACCAGACTTTGGGTTAATAAAAGTATTGTGATGTTTGTAATTTGAAGACAATCGGACACTTACATCACATGTTATAAGAGTTAAAATTATTCAAAATGTTTACCCTTTGTGGGGGAGGTACTTAATGGAGTGGACCGATATTGGCCATTTTCGCACCTGATCTAGAACTGATGTAAATTTTAGAATTTGCAAATTTGGAATAAAATCGGATTATCCTTTCTCTTTCTGTGTAGTGAAATATTTTTTTCGGAAATGTTGATATTTTGTGGAGGAGGTACCAGAAGGAGTGAACCGAAGTTGCCCATCTCCGAACTCGACCTAATTTTGACAATAATATTACGTTGTACCAAGTTTGGATCAAATCAGATGCTCCCTTCAAAAGTTATCGTGCCAGACAGATAGACGGACCTCCCTAGATCGACTCCAAATGTCCTGAAACGGATTTTGTCCAAAGAGATGTAGAGTCTAAAACCGTTACTACGATGGCCGTATTACATGATATATACCCTCTATAGCCATATGGCTGAGGGTATAAAAATAATAACATACAGGGTGAGATGAAAAAACTGAAACCAATTTCAAACTTCTGCAATCATTCCAGCGACAGTTCGTTATATTGTCCACAAGCGTACATAAGCATTTTCGTGAGCATTTTCCAGAAAAAAATTATTGGTCATGGCATTTGTGGGGAAGGTTAGGTTAGGTTGAAAAGAGGGGCGAAGCAATTCGCCGCATGCCCTGTTGGGCATACATTTGAGGCCTGTTGTGCGCTCTAGACTAAGGTTTTTTTTTTTTTTTTTTTGAAAAAGGTGGTCAGTTTACAGTCTGTTATATTTGAAATTCAGTTGCCTTTATGAAATTTCTTAACTGTCTTACATCATGGTCTGGTATGGAGTCGTTCCATAAGAATTGGTATCTGATATTTGCAAACGCTGGGCAATGGCAGAAAAAATGTTCCAATGTTTCGTCATCTACCCCACAGCCCTGACATAGCTAGATCGACTCCTAATGTTCTGAAACGGATTTTGTCCAAAAAGATCTAGTATCTAAAACCGTTATTTCGATGAAGCACGTTTTGGCCGTGTCAAATGTTAGATAACCTCCCTAGCCACATGGCTGAGGAAATAAAAATAATAACATAATCATAATAACAGCAATATAATAGCTCTGCGTATAACTCATAACAACACTAATACGCCATAAAGAACCTCTTCGTTAGCTTTCCACTTAAAAATTCAAAATTATTACTATTTTACATTTCTATTGTTTCTTTTAAATATCCACTTCACAACGCATGCAGCAAAAATTCAAACCAAAAAAAAAAAAAAAAAAATAAAATAAAACTGAACATTTATCTTTGCTCATTTCTGCTGGTATTAAAATGGCTGAGAGCACCGCTATTATTTTATTTTCGTAATTTAACAAAAACAATATGGCAAATGATTTTTTTTGCAGGGAGTACGAAGAACAATAAGAAACGTTGAAAAACAGGAGAAAATGGGAAAAACCACAAATATACATATTTAATTCTCGTTTAGACAATTATTAATGATTGCAGTTTTTCGGGTATTACACTTCCCCCCTACCCCCCAGGTTCAACAAAAAGTGTTGAGAATTTATGCAAAGTTTTACAAAAAGAATTGTCTAATTTTTAATATTCCATGCTTGACAAGTCGTTTATCTTCCGTTTTTGAAAGCATATAAAATAATTTTCTCTCTTTTTTTGGTGGAGTATATTTTTTTTTAATAAATGATTTTAATTTGATTGTTAAATTCTTATTCCCTATTTTTTATTTATTTTCTTTCAGATTGGGTTGGTCATGAATGATTTGCTGATTGTTTCTGTGTGGAGGGGATGGAAGGAGAATAATCAAAAGTTTTTATGGTGAGTAGTAAAGTTGTTAATTATGTTTGTTAACAATATCAATAACAAGAAATATGATTCAAATTAATTAAAAACATAGTGCATAGTAATGGTGTGCATTGGAGCGTTTAAGTAACGTTGTTATTCATCCTTGAGAGATGGTAATAGATAGGAATGGAAAGTTGTTCTTCGTGTATATGGCCTGAAATAAATAGATTTGTTAAAATTAACGACTTTTTGAACTTTTTGAGTAATTTAAAAACTGGAAGTATATATTTGCTCTCACGAATAACGCTGATTTCCCCCAATCTAATCTCAATAAAGACAACGATTTCAAAGTAACAATTTGGCCTCCAAAATGTAATGCTCGTTTCCACGTAATCTAAATAGCTTATCTTCAATAAATAAATTCTAACTACTGTAATTTCACCTCTCTTTACTATGTCCACAAGTATAGACTTTCTAGTGTAAACACTCTGCTAAACGATTTGTTTTCCACGAAATGGAAATCTAATCCAGACACAAATACCTTCAATTGTTCGAAAAAGCAAAAAAAAAAATCCTCCGGGCAATTGTTCATCGGAAAACATTAAATCCATGCTAGACACGCAGCAATTTATTGTCCACTTAATATCCGAATCAAATCAAATATCAATTTTCCGTTTAAAATCATGCAAACAGACAGTGGCGGACAGTCGATATACATTTTTATGACGTCTAACAGCACGGAAACTTTGTGACACGTGAAGGCGAATAAGTGGTGTGGGGGGGTGGAGACAAAGTGAGATATTGAACAAAGTTGTTTGCGGGGGGAAATTGGGTTTTATTTGAATTGGATAACAGGTCAAGAATGACTTGGCCGAGAATAGGAATATTTAAATTTAGCTTCATGCTAGTTAAATAGTATCAGTCAGATTTGCCGACAGAGGTATAGTCCCAGCCTCGAGTTATGATTATTCAAACTGTTGAACCTTTATGGGGAAAGTTCCGATGCAGTTGGCCAATATTGACCAATTCATATTTGACCTAAGACTGATAAAAATATTACAACGTGTCCGATTTGGACTATATCGGCTACTTCCTATACTTTATATGAAATATGTGCAAATTTTTGAAAAATATAGAAATATGCGTGAGGTAACAGGTATAGTCGAAATATTCCATTTTCATACGTCATCTAAAATAGATAAAAATGTTGGTATGTGCAAAATTTGAAATAAATCGAACATTAATATCAAATTTTATGCGAAAATATAAATTCCCATAAAATACATACTCCGAACCGATTTCTGGTTAAGAGGAATATTTAGATAAAGCAAGTTCTTCACAACAGACCTTGCGATAGCAAATTTATTTGGATGTGTGAAATTTGAAAAGACTTGGATGTTTAATTCGCTTTGTTTGAACGTTCCGTTTTTTTAAAATCTTGAACCTTTTGTGGGGAAGGTACCAGAAGAAATGGTCCGATTTCTGTCATCTTTATAACAGATTTTGTGTTGATGGAAATATTGAGATGTACCAAGTCTGAAATGTTAATTTCCGGATTTATGAGTTTCATGGATTCTCAAAAGTTGGGCTCTTTGTGGCGGAGGTACCAGAAGGAATACACCGAAATTTCCCATCTTCGCACCAGATCTTGGGTTGAAAAAATATTGTGATGTGTGTAATTTTAAGAAAACCAGATGCTTATGATGGTTTTGGTTCTTCAAAACGTTGACCCTTTGTGGGGGAGGTACCAGAAGGAATAGTCCGATCTCTTCTTTCTTCATAACAGATCTTGTGTTGATGAAAATATTGAGATGTACCAAGTCTGAATGGAATCGGATGTAAATTTCGTTTTTTTATGAGCTTCATGGATACTCAAAAATTTGGCCCTTTGTGGGTGAGGCATTAGAAGGAAAAGATCGATATATCCCATCTTCGCACCAAATCATTGGTTAATAAAAATATTGTGATGTGTGTAATTTTAAGAGAACCGGATGCATATTTCCCTTTTTTATGATCGTTGTAGTTCTTCAAAACTTTTACCCTTTGTGGGGAGGTACCAGAAGCAATAGTCCGATCTTTACCATAATTATAACAGATCTTGTGTTGATGGAGGTATTGAGATTTACCAAGTCTGAATAGAATCTGATGTTAATTTCGTTTTTTATGAGCTTCATGAATATTCAACATTTTTACCTTTTGTGAGGAAGGTACCAGAAGGAGTAAGCCGATATATTCCATCTTCAAACCCGACCTTTGGTTAAAAAAATATATTGATGCGTGTAATTTAAGGACAATCGAACTCTTAAATCATATTTTATAAGAGTTACAATTATTCGATATGTTGACCCTTTGTGTGGAGGTTATGGATGGAGTGTAGCGATATTGTCCATTTTCGCACCAGACCCAGCACTGATGCAAATATTAGAATTTGCAAAGTTAAAGCAAAATCGGATTATCCTTTCCCTTTCGGTGCAGTAAATTATTTCCTTTGAAAATGTGAATATTTTGTGGGGGAGGTACCACGAGGAGTGGACCAATATTGTCCATCTCCGAACTCGATCTAAGTTTGACAATAATATTATATATAATAATATTATTAACAATAATAATATTTGGATGTACCAAGTTTGGATCAAATTGGATAATCTCTTCGAGAGTTAATGTACGGACTGATGGACATCACAAGATCAACTCCATATGTCCTGAAATTGATTTTGTTAAAAGAAACCCAGGTCCTAAAACCGTTTTTCGATGAACCACGATTTGGCTGTATCAAATGATATATAACCTCTTTAGCCATATGGCTGAGGGTATATCAACAATGGAATTTTCCATAGGAAAACTTCAATTCAGCCTGGCTGAATAGAGGGTTTTCCCACAAGAAAACTTCAGTTCAGCCTGTCTGAATAGGGGGTTTTCCCATAGTTCAGCCTGGCTGAATAGAGCGTTTTCCCATCGGAAAACTAAAATCCAGCCATGCTGAATACGGGGTTTTCCATAGGAAAACTTTATTTCAGTCTGGCTGAAAAGAGCGTTTTCCCATTGGAAAACATCAATTCAGCCAGGCTTTAGATGGGAAAACTTAAATTCAGCCTGACTGAATAGGATGATTTCCATAGGGTTTATTTATTATTTGCCTTTTGTAGCATAAATTGATAAACATGAAAATTCCCCTAGCGGCAAGACAAAATTTAATTTTCACTCAATTCAAAGCTTTTTAGCCTTTGTGGCTGAATAGAAAAAGCAATAATAGAACGGATCCTTTTTTAAATTTTCACTTTATTTTATTTGATTTTTTAAGAAGGCAATTTTATTTTGCACCTTATGCTGCTGGACACGGGGCGGATCCCCTTCAGGGCTCAGCATATTTTTTATTAATTTTTATTACATTTTAACTTGCTTATGCCTTTTGTGAGTTGTCTCTTTGTGTTTTTGTTCTGGGGTTTAGATCAAACCGTGATTTCAGATATTTTGGCCGCACAAAACAAAAGCACCCCTTTTTATGGTCAGAGATTTCAGGCATGACCAGGCGGCAAAAACAAAACACCGCCATTACACTTGGCCTGGGTTAACGCTGTTTACTTTGTCCTGTCACGTGCTACAATTCAGTTTTCCGAGCTGAAAGGAAGACGGGACAGTAGCTGCAAATAAAGGATGACAAAGAACAAAAATTCTTTTAATTTCATATTTACAAAGTCTCTGTTAGCAGGGGTCAACAAGAGACGAAGGGTGTACAAAATACAATAAAAGGGACAAAGCCAAAGACAATCTGTATTCCAAAGGCATGGCAGCAGCCTAGCACACACGGATGAACGGCAAACGAACACCGAACACGTTTAAGCCAAGTTGACAGAGTTTAGAGCCAAAGTATTAATTTTAGTTGTTCGTCACCGTGTAACCTCGTCACTGGTGTCACACTAAAGACAAATCCCCCTTTCAAACGGCGAACTTCACTATCCAAAAAAACAAACAACGATATCCACACGAAATTGTCTGAAAGGTAGAAAGCATCGTTCAATTCTAAAACTTCTTGCAATGTTTGTGTGTCTGAGCGTGTTTTCTCCGTTCCTTTTCGTGGCGACCTGACGAATATTTGCAGGCTCAATTTCCAGCAATGACAGTTTTGTTGCTTACATTTGAGTTGCAATCTCTTTCGTTGGTTCTACGTGTTGGCGTATTCAACCTTTTCCTCTGTCAATTCTTGTCCAGCTCCCTGCTCACCGCTTTGGCATTTTGATTTCGTTTGCTTTAAATTCACAGATCGCAGAGGATATTATCGAGTTTCATTTAAGGCCATGTTTTCCTTTCATGAAATGGTGAGAAAAAAGAAAAACGAAATAACCGGGGAAAGCATAACAGGTGTGGCAACGCTTGATGTTTCGCTTTCTTTTTTTGTATCTTTCATTGGATTGGCTGTTGGGGAGAGAGGATAAGTCTCTGTTTGCTTTTAATTAATTGCACGCGTTTGTTTTGTCCGATTTTTTCATAGGAAAGAAACGGCTGTTTTGCTCTCCCAATATTTATTTTAAAGCATCGCGGTGTTGGTGTGATAATTAGAGATGGTGAAGAGGGCTAAAAATGTATTACACCGAGGTGAATTGAAATATTCCCACTACAACCCAAATTGGACTGATGTTTTCCTGTGGGAAAATGTGTGGGAAAACCCACTTTGAATTGAAGTTTTCCTTTTCCGAAAACCGCTATTCAGCCAGCCTGAATTGAAGTTTTCTTAAGGGAAACCCCCATTCAGCTAGGCTGAATTGAAGTTTTCCTATTGAGAAAGCCCCCACTCAGCCAGGCTTAATTGAAGTTGTCCTTAAGGGAAAACCCCTATTCAGCCAGGCTGAATTGAAGTTGTCCTTTAGGGAAACCCCTATTTAGGCAGGCTGCATTGAAGTTTTCATAAAGGGTTTCCCTAAAGCCCTTATTTAGGCTGGTTAAATTGAAGTTTTCCTATGGGAAACCCCCATTCAGTCAGGCATAATTGAAGTTTTCCTATAAAAAATCCCCTATTCAACCAGGCTAAATAAAAA